TCCTGGACGAATATGGGCAGGTTTTAGTAACCATATACATAGTGAAATCTGGTGTTTTGGGATTTTCTCACCAATGGTTTAGATTACGATTCATCCAAGGGCACCATTAGATAGAGCTAGTCGAGTTGTACTTGCAACCCGGCTGGAACACTTGGAACACGTTCCTGGGCGAATATGGGCAGGTTTTAGTAACCATATACATAGTGAAAATCTAGTATTTTGAGATTTTCTCACCAATGATTTGGATTACGATTCATCCAAGGACACCATTAGATAGAGCTCGTCGAGTTGTACTTGGAACTCGGCTGGAACACTTGGAACACGTTCCTGGACGAATATGGGCAGGTTTTAGTAAGTAGGTTTGGTTTTTCCTTTAGAAAAAGAGCAGTATTTTGGATTTTCCTCACGATTGGTTTGGGTTATGGAAAATCCAAAGTTACCATTAGATAGAGCTCGATGAGTTCTACTTGGAACACTGATTGGAACACTTGGAACACTTTCCTGAGCGAATATGGGAAGGATTTACTCGAATATGGTGCTAACTTCACCTACCCAGGTCAATCAATCCTAACTAACGGATTCCGATGATATCCGGACCGGAATCCGGTAAAATCCGACAAAAACAGACAGGATTCGATCGAATTTTATGCAAATCCGATGTCAGATCCGACGTCGGAATCCGTTAGTTAGGATTCCGACAAAATTGGTATAGGTTTCAGTCGAAATTATTTGGAACCGACAGGAGCCGATCGGGCGTGATTGACCTGGGTACGTCGGTAAATTCAAAAAAAAAAAGTTTAATATCAATGAAAAACTTCAATAATCTTACGAGGGAAGCACGCACTGTTTGATCTCATATCGGATTCGCAAGGAGATCTCAGTGGGACTAGAAAAATCCTAAAAGAGTTCATGTCCATGAGCTTTTGAAGCCAAGTTATGACCACTTAACTGAGTTTGCGATCTAGCTTTAGGAATTTACCGAAAAATGAAATTAGGGAATTTCGATCTGAAATTTTGTCCATAAATAGATCGAATGATCAGTAAAATATTCTGAAAGTTTCAGCCGAAAAAAATGTTCCTTTGTCGAGATATTATATTTTCAGAAAATAATCGTTTGCTGCAGAAGTTCTACATGAATCAAATTTTAGTTGAGAATTCAATATCTCGATAAAGGAACATTCTTTTCAATTAAAACTTTCAGGATATTCTACTGATTATTCGAGCTATTTATGGACCAAAGTTCAGTTCGAAGTTCTGTTTTTTTTATTTTTCAGCGTATACGTAAAATGGAGACGAAAATTCAGTAGAACAGTTATAATTCTGTTTCAAGAGTCCATGGGAAAGAACTCTTTTGAACTTTTTGCTAGTTTCACCAAAGCTCCCTTGTAGGCACAATATGTACTCAAACAGTAGGTATCAGTAATAATTAATTAATTAATAATTGATTAATTAAAATGATCTCGAATTCGGATTCCTCATCTTCCATTACCTTTGGTCAAGTTTTTTGGAAAACATTAATAAATAATAATCAATTAATAATTAGTAATAATTAACTAAAACTAACCTCAAATTTGAATTCCCCGCCCCGATTACCTTTGGTCAAGTTTTATGGTAAATAATCCCTTTTGTCTTCACCTTATTCTTGGACCAATCACTGAAGTGCAGATACACAAGCAAGCAATCAAGCAAGCAAGCAAACAATTCATTCTTGCTAGACTCTTCTCTATGAGAAAGAGAACATACAAAAAAAACTACTCTACAAAAAAGTTTAATTCGCAAAAGTATTTTTGTTTGATTAATTGCATCTAAACGGCCGTTCAAAATTTGTGCCTATATTTAAACCACTTAGCATCTTGATTTTTTTCCAGAATTCTTTCTCTTGGGTCTCATTGTGCCATCTTAAAATACTTGGTCCATTCGATTTCCCATAGATCCAATTACCAATATATTTTCGACCATCAGTATAATATAAAACACCATTTCCATGCATTTTACCATCTTTAAAGCTACCTTCATATCGATTTCCATCTGGCCATGTAAAAATACCTTGTCCATTCGGTTGATTATTCATCCAACTGCCTACATATTTTCGTCCATCAGCAAAATAAAAAGTGCCATTTCCTTCTCTACCAGCACGACGTTTGAAGTTTCCTTCGTATCGGCCTCCGTCTTCGTATGTAAAAACACCATGCCCAATTGTATCACCCGAAGTCCAGTTGCGTGCATATTTTCGTGCACCAGGAAAATCTAGAATATGATGAGAGAAGAATATAATTCGAGTTCTAACGGCATAGAAATTTCGTCATTGATCTTACCTTCTGTTGTCAATTCTTTTTTTAAAAATTCATTGTTCACAATTCTAAAAGTAATAACTTGTTGATTGATTTTGTATAAGAAGATAATCCACCAAATAAACTATAAAAAATAGAACATTTTTAATAATCTGTATTGAAAAAATTTCATATGCCTACAAAATGTTTATGCATATGCATGTTAGACGAATTCATGACTATATGTCTAAATGTGGTGTGTTTTCGTGGTATATATAATAGTTGCTGTTCTTTATTCATATACTAACAAAGAGTGGAGAATATTCTCACGAAGCGGAACATCATCGAAAAATATGATTTGCTGAAATCGAATATGAATTAATACAAGCGAATAATTTTCTCCGATTGACGATTCTTTGTTTCTTTCTCTTTTCACACAATACGAAGAAAACGATTGAATATATCAATTATGATCGAGAAAGAATAACCTAAGTTTAGGGGTCAAACACAATAGAAAAAATAAAACTGAATTAAATGTGATTGGTGTTTCCATGTAGCAACATCAATCATCTTTCTTAATTCAGTTTTCATTCGTCTAGTCTGTTTGTGCTCTTAGACAAGGTCATCTGATAAAGATAAACTGCAAAGAAAGCAATTGTAATAATTATTTTGTTTCGTCTGTAGCAGTTAATTATTTTATTCTTACTTAAAAAACCGATAATCTAATATAACTTTTTACCAGTAGCGTAGCCAGGATTTTTGTGCATGCTGGATCTCACTTTCAGCGCATGGGATCCAGATGAAACTTATGTAGGATGATATTGAACCCAAATGATGAGTTTTTATGAAAAATTTTTTGCAATCGGAGCTTGCGAAAAAACTTCTTTTTTTTTCTTAACCCTCCCCCCCCCTAAAATTTTTTTTTGGTTTTAGTAGTATTCCATTTTTAGAGTTTAATCATAATCTACATCGAATTTCATTGACAGATTTAAAATTTCGTCTAAAACTATGCATCCCTACAAAAGTTATAATATTTTGAATTTTTACAATATGTCGCAAAAATTTTCATAAAAACTCATCATTTGGGTTCAATATCATCCTAGATAAGTTTCATATGGATCCCATGCACTGAAGGTGAAATCCAGCATATATAAAAATTCTGGCTACGGCTCTGATAGCTTATTAACAGTTTAATATGTTAGGCCGAAATTTTTTACTGTGAACTGTAAAGACTCGAACATATATTCTCTGAAATTTCCAACCAGACCGGTCGTTCTAAGACAAAAACAGTCTTCTAAGAAGCAAAGGACCTTAATTGAGTTGATTCAGATTATGCGAGATTTTCTCATGAAATGGTTATAATCACAAAAAGAATTTCAAATTCTGCATCTGAATATTGTTTTCATAGGTTATAGAAAATTTGATTAACGAGACTCTATATTACCTTTAGACGTTATTCCTATTCAATATATACTTTTCTAAAGAAAATAACAGGACAATAACGTATTATAGCGTTAAATGTATGATATATGTTACAATATTAATCATTTGCATTCAATAAAAAATAAACTGATCATGAGCAAAAGATTGTCTGAAATCTAATCTAAGCAATATTCATTCGTATTTATGTTTTTTCTTTGTATTCGGAAAATCAAAATAGATTCCAAGATAAATAAGAAACTATGCCAGACTACTTTTTTTGTTCTACTATAGATACACAATCATAGGACTCATTCGACGCGTCGTATCAGCGCTTATAATTAATTTTTTTTTATTCAGATCGACTCATGAGAAAAAAAAAGTTGGAAATACATACAAATTTTAAGTACTTTTGTGTTTCTATTGAATAGAAGGTTATATCAAAAAAAAAGAAATTCTACCGTTTTGTAGGTATTATGAGATGTATCGAATGAGCACAATGATTGCACATTTATGGAAGAACGAAAAAGTATTAAGCCTATTAGAAGTATTTGCATCCCATCTCTCCATCCACTACTATTCAAAATCATTCCATATAAACACTACAAATACAATAGTTGCAAAAATAATTAAACTTGAATCCTTTATTCTCACATTTTGATCACAAATAGAGCATGTTGAACTTTGATCGTAAGAACTAATCAGGACTTAATCGACCTTCAATCGAAGAAGCTAGAAGATCAATATAGAAAATAAATATCATGACGTTAAATCACTCCTTCGACAGCTTAGTGCTGGTTCTATCATCAATAAAAATTTCATGTCAAACAATTTTAGTTTGTTTAATTTGTGAAGCAATCTTCACATGAGAATTGATGAGAACCATCGAAAAGTGACCGATATTTCCGACTAATTTGAACTATTTGCCTTGAAATTTTCTCCAGTGAGTGTTCTGCTCTAATGAAGTTTTCCGTCAAAGTTTTACAATTGCAGTCATCAATCGAGAAGGTATTTATGCTGAGACCATCTCAGACAATGGAGATTTCCTTACGTCGCAAAATTACAGCGGATTGAAATACCCTATCAGTACCACAATATAGCCATGTGAATTTTTATTTGTTAATAAGAAAATGGAGATTAACGCATTTGAATAGTTGAAAACCAGTGTTTTCATTGTAAATCCCTCGCATTAAGGGGACCCCCCCCTTTCCGGCGTTTTTAAGAAACGGCCGAACGAAAATTCCTGAAACTTGCAGGCTAGATAGACCTCGAGTAGTAGAGCAAAAGTTGTCATAGACACAAATTTGCCAGACGTCATCTTCATGGACTTCCAGAGACCCCAAGGTCAAAAACTTGCAAAAAGTTTTCCCCCCCGCAAATCCACAAATTTCATCCGTTTGAGCTGAAATTTTTGCTGTGGGTAGACGGACCCAATCGGGGTGGGTGTTTTTTTTTTTTTTCAAAAATTCCAAATACTTCAGGCTGGAGAACCAAAATACTGAGCACCTTGCAAAATCTCTAGGTTTTTTGGATCCTAAAAATTTTGCGAAGCCTGCCAAACTTGATTGGTAGAAGGTATCAAAAAAAAAAAAAAAACACCCAACCCAAATCACTTGAAGTCTCACCAAAACAATTTTCAGCCCGATCGGACTTGAAATGGCGGAGAAAAAGGGGGAAAACTTCATTTTTTTGCTGAAAAAACTGATTTTGAGAAAAACGCAAAGAAATTTGTGTTTTTTTGGTTTTTTCAGCATATTTTGTGATTTTTTTCGAATTTTTTATATATAAGATGTGGTTTTTCAGTTCTCAAAATGTACTCAATGGATAGAGGGCATTCAAATCTATATACTAATCACAAAAAATGAAAAATGAAAAATGTGAAAATTTTGAGTCGGGAAAGGGGGGGGGTCCCCTTAAGGCATATTGGCTTTGAATTGCTGATTACGACCAAGGTTTTGCCAAGCTCTATTTGTACTCAAAATATTAGGCAAAGGAATTCAAGTTTATGTAGTTTTTATCCGAGTAGCAGGACTTCTTGCAATTACTATAGGAAATATTAGATTCTCAAATAGTTTTTTAAATCAAAATCATAAGTTATGTAGAATAGATAATATTAGAATTTGATTATCGAATTTTCTCGATTCTTTATATTTACAATTGAAAAATAGATGTTTGATTTAATATAAAAATTTTTACAAATCAAAACTTAATTTTCTTCTACAATCTATTTAATGAATATACTAACCGTTTAGTATTTTTTTCAGGACAAAAATCCATTAATTCATAAAAAAATTCTTGAAAAAAATGTGGAACATTTTATTCTTTTAAATAATGAATTATTTCATCAACATCTCCACTATCATAATATTCATGAATAATTATATTCATTCTATCAGCTAATTCTCGTACAGGTCGAAAACCATCTAAAATTATAAAAAATCTATTTTTAATTATCATCATATAAAAAAAAGATGTTTTTTTTTCATTTTTATTCTCATACTTGATTGAGCATTCCAAACATTATTAGGAAAATAAAAATCTCCAATTAATACAAATGTTTCAGCTTTATCAAGTGCTGCTTGCATTTTTGAACATTTAACATTTCCTTTATATTGAAGAAAATATTTTCTATTGGTATTGTCAATACATTTATCGGGAATAGAACGAGCAATAAGTTTACCTAAATAAAATAAAATAGAAAAAATAAATAAAAACAATAAATCAAATTTTTTTTATCAATATCAGTTGAATATTCTGGAGTATGAAATGATAAATCATATAATGATTCTAATAATGAATTAAATCCATTAATATAATCATTTGGACGTAATATAATACCATTAAGATCATGTAATAAACATGATATTAATTCTTTATGAACATTAGATTTTTCTAATGTTCTTGTAACAATATAAACAATTAATTCATCACCATGTTGTTTAATATCAAATTTTCTTAATGATTGTGCAACATCATTTCCATCACTATTAACAAAATATTCATCAATTAATGGTTTAACATTTTTATCCATACTTTCAATTAATTCTAATTTACTAAATTTTGTTTCTAATGATGATTTTGATGATTTAGCAAGAAGTTTAGCTTTAGCTTCTTTATATCGTAAATTAGCTAAATCTTCATCATCTAATTCCTCATTATATTCTTCAAATAATTCTGAACCAAATACACCCCATGTATAACCATCACCATCGTCATCTTTCCTTGGTAAACCACGACCTTTACCTAAAGTGACGAAAAAAAAAACGTTTAACAACAATATATTTTTGATTTTCATAGTCAATAGAGTTTTCTATGGTAAGATTTCTAAAAACAAAACCGAACATGATAGTTTTCAACTGTCAGAAAACTTTGTTGGAGCTATTTTTTTTAACATTGTCGTTTTAAGAATAAAATGAAAGATGGTCGCATTTTGTTCTCTTTAGAATGATATTGTTAAAAAATGGTTCCGACCAAGATTTCTGCGATCTGCAAACCTATCATATCCGAGGTTTTTAGAACCTTTGACATCATAGTTCATCTATGAAATCTTGCTACAGAAAACTCTATTGGTTATTAATATTCCTATCTGAATTTGAGTTAGATGTTTAATATAATAGAAAAATACATTGTTTTAAAATTTTTTTCTACTACCTCATTTTAAAATATAGAATTTTATTATATCAAATATTTTTTTAAAATAAAACAAACCTTGTCTTGATTTCCAATTATTTTTTTTTTATATTTTGGCATTTCTTTGTAATAAATGTCCATGGACATTTGTTGGTGAACTAACTAATTGTCTATTTGAATTTGAACCTGAATTTCGATGTATTTGTACATGTTTACGCTCAGATGCCATTATACTAGCATCACCACTAGCATTTGTATATGTTTGAGATGTTTTATCATGATCATGTGATGAACTCGTTTTATTGTTATTTATTTAAATAACGGAAAACAAACAGAAATCAAGAAAAAAAAATCAAAAAGTATTTGTATTTTTCATTTAACACAGTTTATGTTTTGCTAAAGGTGAAAATAATGTTGATCAATCTGAAAAATAGAATTAAAAAATAATTTGATTTTAATAATAAACATTATTTTCATTCTTCTTAGTCCTTTATTTAATATGTTAGAAAAGAAAGAAAAAATAAATAAATAAATATAAACATATATACACTAAAACCTCTATAAGTGAACACCTCTCGATAGTGAACACCTCTTTATTCTGAACATGAACACTTCTTTTCCACTCCCTCTAGCTACTATAATCTCTCTAATGTGAACATATGTACATGTTTATTTCTCTCTCTCTGTTACGTAATGCTCCACTTCTTTTCTTTTTCTGTTCAGCTGTTACATATATGTCTTGTACGTCTGACCTACTTTTCCTAACTAACGTCTGTTCTGAATAAGAAGGTCATTGTCTCAATTCGTCCTATTGTTCATTTTCTAAACAGACGAAGAAGACTATCTACTTTTTTTCTAGTTCGCCTAATTATCTCTCTCCTATATATAATTTATGTTTTTCTAATAAACGCAGTCAAATATTCATTAAAAAATGTCATCACGACATGATCTTACTTTGCAACAGAAAGTTGAATTAAATAATGAATTAAAATCAAAGTTAACTAATGTTCATATCAGTTCAAAAACAAATAGACAAATGACATTAGAAGACTTTTTTAAACAAAACTAAAGCCTGTCTTGTATCTAAAAATTTTTAACTACAAAACATTTAAATAAAAATAAATGAATAAAAAATAAATAGCTCTTGCTTGACTGAAGACTAGTACAGCAGTAGACATTCGGAATTTTTTCTTCACTTCTCAGCAAAATGAGCGTCACCTCTATAAAGTGAACACCTCCGTATAGTGAACACTTTTGAAAAGTCCCCATGGTGTTCACATTAGAGAGGTTTTACTGTATGCTGTTGAACTCAAAATATAAACAGATAGATCAAAATGCTATACAAGATCAATACTCTGAATGGAAGCAACGAGTTTTACATGAAATTAAAGACAAGGATATCCTGGACATTTAAACAACAGATAGAGAGTTGATCACATCAAAAGTAATGAAAATATTTTATACGAGTAGAGATTTATTCGACGGTATCAGTGACTTTCTCTATTTTCATTCATTGATGATACTCAAAATTAGAACCAAAGTAATATGTGAACTAGAAGCGTCAATTTTAAAAGGACATATTCATGCCAACCGTTCGTTAAATCATGATTCGTTAGATAACGAAGTAATACTTCACTGGAATGCTTCCCCGTTATATTTTGCTGATTCCATTTATCAAACATGTACTGGATGACTACTTTAACAGCCAGAAGGAAAAGAATTGGTTATTTTACAAAAAAAAAGTGAACAATATCAAGCATGGAAACTTATATCATCATCTGGCTCAATTGTGCTAAACTGTTTTAGAAAAAAAACCAAGTACCAAGATTACCAGAGTCAATCGATGATCAATAGAACGGATTATTTTTTATATCACGCTATTTGTTTTAATTAGCTCTATTTGAATGCTCTTTCTTTATCGATATATATTCCATACACGGAAGCCTTATCTTTTTTTTTAGCCGGACAAATCTTTCGTTCCTACGGCAGATTCTGCACCTTTGCTGATCAATTGATGCTCCCGTTCATGGATTACAACGTTTTATATGCTAAAAACTTTATTCTTATAAAAAAAATATATATACAATAGAATTACGATGCTTAGATTAAGAATTATTTTTAAAGAAATCTTTTTATTAATTTTGATTGATATTTAAATTTAGTTAACAAAAAAAAAAGAATCAAATAGAATTAATTTTGAAATAAATACAATGGAGAATGTTGTTGAGGTGCTATTTGTCCTCCATGAATACCACGCCATTTATTTCTATCACTAAGAATTCCTGTCCAAAAACTAATGAAAATAGTTGCAATAAATATTAACCATTTAATAGAAATCAGTAATGAATCATTTATCAAAAATTTCGTATGATTAACAAATATAATACTTAATTCATTACAAAGTAATGGTGGAAATGTACAAATAAATAGTTTTAATAATATTCGATAAATTGATTTATTATTTGATATACAACATTGATCAATAACAACTATTGGAACAATTGTCCATATTAAATGGGTCATTATACAAAAAAATGGTAGAAGAATTGTATCAATTAAATCATCAACATTTTTATGATTCATTAATATTGAATGATTAGTGGAATTATTTTCTAAACAAAGATTAATTAATTAATATGATAGAAAAGAAAAATTTTTTTCATACTTTTTATTTCAGTTTGATTATTTCGATAAGCAATATTTTTATAAAAAATATTAATAAATACACATAAATGAAGAAAAAAAGAAATGACCATTAACGAAAATATAATCATTGCAAATAAACGCTCACGTTTACTGGCATAGTGTAATGAAATAACTTCTGTTTCCATTTTTTTTTTCACAACTGTTATTGCATCAACTCTATTTAAATTTATATGACAAATAACAAACCAATTAGACATACATTTATTTTTAGACGATTATGAACAAAAATTAGGCAGTCATGAACGAGAGTATGATCAATATAATGATTAGAATTTTTTATTTTATATCCAATTAAACATTCACATGAATTGATCAATGTTTTTTTCCTTAACTGTTTTATCAATTCAGGTGATTAAGAAATATCAATAATTTATTTCGAAAAAGAAATTCATAAATTCTACAGTTACTTTTCTTCTGAAGAAAGTGCTGAAAGAATATTAATATGTTTTTTTCTTTTTATTTGCTTGATAAATAATCAATAAGTAGTATTCACAACAAAAAAAAAGAGAAATAATTCTTACTCGAGTAAATAGAATAATGCTTATTACTATGAACAAACAAAATACTTAATGATCAATTTGTAATTGAACACTAGTTGACAAAAATTCATTTTATTCTTTCATAAAGTTCTTCAAGACGAATTCTTAAGTTATGTTTCGACTATCTCTTAGAAAACTAGAACATACTAAAAAAGCTCTTTCTTTTTATCCATTCCGATTAAATCATTATAGAAAAATATTTAAATATACCTTTAAATTTTATGTTCTACTAGAAAGTTACCGTCAGTATCATCTGTATTCTATTATGAAGATTTTTATTTTCCAACAATCTTCTTCAAGATTTGAATCTGAATTTAAGATATTTTTATTCTGAAAAAATCCTGTCTTGGAAAACTCTTTAGTCTTCATGTATTTTTTTGTTTTATTTCAATAAATGATCATGTATCGAATTATCGGTTGCTGTATTCAATATAAGGAGTTGTCAATAAACATTGTACGGCTAACGGAAATTTAAAAAAATGTCATTCGATAGTTTTTGAACATTAACTATCAAAGCGATTCTTCGATTATTAAATTTGTATCGATTAACATTGAGTGATAATTGAATCAAAAATTTTAAAATTTACAATAAAATAAAGATTTGATTTGTGTTTGATTAACTAAAAATTGATCATCTGTCCAAGATAATGATAAATTAAAATTTAATATTAACAAAAAAAAGTAACTATTAATGACAAAAAAAGAATAAATTGTACAAGAATTTTTTCGAAGTTGTTTATTTTTTAATATAATATAATTTTAAATATAGAAAATATTATTCATTAGATGAAGAGTTAATAGAATAGATAATCTTAATATTTGTATAAAGTATTCGTTAGAAAATGATGATATCATTTTCAGTGTGAATAATAAAGAATACTGAGCTTTTTTTTATTTTTCAACTTTATATACTATAAATTCATATCAATATTTAATTGATAAGAATGATAAGTTTTAACAGATTTTTATTTTAGATATTCAAACTCAACAATGAAGAATATGTATTTATGTCAAATTTTATTGATGGAATTATCATAAGAAAAAATTTTCTTTAGAGATTTTATTCAAAATGAAAAGAAATTGTTTTTTTTTTGGAATTGGTCATTTGTCAAAATGAAAACTGTTGAAAGACTCATCAGTAATAGAATGATTTTATGGTTTCGAACTTTATCACCAAGTTATTATAAATCTAGTTCATTTATCTTTTGAATGCAAAATAAAATCCGAATAGTCTCGATAGAAATTCAATTTGTATCAGTGAATATATAATATATAACATAAGAATTTCTTCGAACCAATGTTTTTTATGATTATTTTATTTATAATATGCTTATCATTAAAAGTGAAAAAAATATTTTATCTTCATCTGAATAATTTCTATTACAAATATTAATCTTAATAATGGTTATCATATATTGATTTCATACTGGTTTATCTTGAAAAATTTCTTATTGATATAAATCCATCAGATTACTGTTCGATTTATTATAAAAGCTACTCAGGAAATAAGGATTTCGAGAAAAAAGAGATCTATTGTCGTAAAAAAGAGAATTCTTCATCATGTCAGGCCAAAACACAAGTGTTTTTTTTTAAGAAGGAAAAATTCGATTCTGTATTCAAGAATGGATTTATCAGATTCTACTGAAACTCATCAAACTTATATTATATCACAATCCATCAGAATCTAATAAAAAAAAAGCCATCGAAGTTACTATGGCCTATAATGAAAAGAGAAAATACGTATCTATGTGAACATAAATAGATACAGTATCTAAGATCTCTGGAGTCACTGTTTCTTTATTATCTGAAATTCTAATATCGTATTTCTTTTTTGTTGAATTAGTTTCTTCGAATCTGAATGTTTTCTTATGAAGTCTACTATTGTTTGAATAAAAAAGGATTGATTATTTGGTTATTGGTATTAAAAAGTTAATTAAAATAAAATGAAGAAATTGTTATTATTATAGCTTGTTTAAATAGAAGCATGTTCAATACATTTATTTTGGTGTTTTTTTTGTGGTGCTCTCTTTCTTAAGAAATATTCGAAAGAAAAATATTGAAATATATATACTGGTTCTGTAAGACTACAATGAAAAAAAAGACATTAACAAAAATAATGAAAAGAAAAGTAAAAGTTTTAGTCAATATTTTTATATCTAAAACCAGAAGTTGGTTTTTGCATTTCATAATTAAAACCAATTGTTGGTGTCATTTTAATAATTTCATTCAAAACACATTCAACAAATTGTGTTGTTGTTGATGTACCACCAATATCCGGTGTTTTTACTTTATGCTCTTGAACTGTATTTATAACAGCTTTTTTTATAGCTGAAGAATGTTGATCCAATCTTTGAAAAGAAAAGAATTTTTTTTTGTAAAAAGAAAAATGTTGATTAGTTTACCCTAAATATTGGAGCATATTAGCAGCAGCAAAAAGAATACCAGATGGATTTGCAATATTTTTTCCAGCAATACCTAAACCTGTATTTCTTGTACCTTGTTCAAAAATTGCATAATTATCTCCATAATTTGAACCAGCAACAAAACCTGAACCACCAACAAGACCAGCACATACATTTGCTACTATATTTCCATATAAATTGGGCATAACCATAACATCAAATTGCGCTGGTCGATTAACTAATTGCATACAGGTATTATCAACAATCATTGTATCAAATTTAATATCGGGATATTCAGCAGCTACTTCACGACAACAATCAATAAATAAACCATCACTTAATTTCCTGTTTTATAAACAAAAAAATCTAATCAATTATTTAGAAAAAATGAATTAGATTTTATTTACATTATATTTGCTTTATGAACAGCTGTTACTTTTTTTCTTTCATGATGTTTTGCAATTTCAAATGCAAAACGAGCAATTTTAAGAGATTTTGCTCGTGTTATAACTAAAAAAAAATCGATCAAATTTATATATAAAATAAATATTAAAATAAACCTTTAAGACTTTCAACAACACCGGGAACTGACTTGAAAAAAGAAAAAGAATAAATCAAAGTTAAATAGAATTAGATATTAAAAAGAAATCTATATACCAACCTCATGTTCGAGTGAACTATATTCACCTTCCGTATTCTCACGAATAACGCGAATATCGATGTTTTCATGACGTGTTGGTACAGCAGGAATTGTTTTACAACGAACAACATTAGCATATAAATCGAGACGAGTACTAATATATATATAAAATAATAGTCTTAATCATGTCTATAACATATTCGAAAAAGAAGATAACGATTACCGTAGAAGAACATTAAGTGAATTTGTTGTATTTTGTGATGAAATATTACCTAATTTATTTAAATAAATATAAATAATTTTGTTTCGAATAAACTAACCTTTAAGAGCTATTCCATTACGTTTAACAGCCATAACAGCTCTCTCAAACATTTCATCACTAGCTATATGGCTTGACAATGGAATATCCTCAAAATCAATAGGTGCTCGAATACATCTAAATTTTTAATTTAATCATTAAATAAATTAAATTAATCAATTTTTTTACCTCATAACAGATTTGACATGTCCCATAAGTTCAGGTCCCACACCATCTCCATGTATTAATGTTACTGTATATTTACCACCATAAGCTGTTCGCCAAGGTGTATCATGCTAAATATCATACATAAACAAATATTACAATGAAAATAAAATACACACATTAGTAGTCAAAGTTCGTCGAAATGATATGATCGACGAAAATGTACGACGAGTATTGAGTTTTAGAATAGACTGCATTTTTTTAACGCTAAATATGCTATTATTACCACATATTTTTCAAACTCAAAAAAAAACTGAAAGAACAATAATAAACAAACAGATGGGTAACGAATGAAAATCAATCATTCATTCTCTCGTTTTCTATTGGTCAACAACAGTCGTCTTCTTTAGAAAATCATACAGATATCGCAGATTTACAAGTAACAATAACGTTATTATTCACTAGAAGTTATATCGCTATTTGAAAAAAATAAAAGCTTTTTTAGGTCGATTCATCACGATAAACTTTTCAATTTGAATGTGAGTTAAGCACAAGTCATCATTAATCCGGTAATAACTATATTTTAGCACGCAGAGAAATTTCGAAAAAAAAATGATATGAACTTAATGTTTCTTATTTCATGGGTTAATTTTGTCATGTTCTGTCTGAAATATTATATCAATAAACACATATCGAACACTTACACAAATATAAATGAATTAAAAATTTACTCATACAAAATTGTAAACGAAGAAAGAGTTCATATCTGTTTTCATATGAATCTACGTTTGCTCTTTAACAGAATATCAATTCGAATACTAGTGACATTCACCACTATTTCTTAATGGATGAATATTCATCTCTACTAGATTGCAATATATCTAAGAAATTGATCAATTTTTTTAATCATCCACTATTGGTGAAAACGAATTTTTTTACTATGCTATAGACAATTTTTAGTTTTTTTTAGATTGGTTTTATTAGATAATAAAAAAGACGAGATAATAGAAAGTCTTTATCGACTTCCGTTTACTTTTGATCGATGTCCAAATTAAAAATTAAAAAAACCATCATGGATTCG